AAATAAATATAATGACAGACTGCAACTTCAAGAATGAACCAACATAAAGTACTGTATCTTAAGGTGTTTGGCTTCAACATGAGCTAGCTAACACAAATGTTTCACCACTGGATAAACAGTGAAGAGAAACTTTGTATCAAGGCTTTTTACTTACTTACTTAAAAAAGTAAAAAGTCAAGTTAAAGTAAGTAAAATAAAAATGTATGGCTTTAGTTTATGTCTCAAGTGTCTTTGTCTGGCATGAAACAAGGTTTGTGTAGTGGTATTTTTAATGACTCTGAGCCAACTGCCTTCACAAAGGGTTTTTACTGTAACGTCTATTCTGAAATGATTCAATCTTGCCCCCGACAAATATGACAATGAATTAAAACTAAAAACTAACAGAAAAAATCATTAAAACTAAACTGAAATTAGTAAACCCAGTCTGGAAACTAAACTGACCTGAAAATTGAAATAAAAAAACTATAGTCAACATGAAAAGAGTTTTAATAGGACTAATTGCAGTCCTGTGATAAACTAACACAGTTGGATTAAGGTCTGGACTTTGGCTGGATCATTAACTGTCACACAGATGGCCTCACCTGTGACTCTTTGTTACACAAAACACTTCATGATGAACTCAATCACTGCGAGGTGCCCAAATCATCAGCCCCCCACCACTGTGCTGACAGCTGATATGAGGTATTTTGTGCTGATATGCTGTGTTTGGCTTTCTCCAAACATGCTGTTAGACATTATCATCAAACTTGTCCACACTGGTGTCAGGGGACATTGTTCCACAAGTCCTGTGGTTTGTTCTGATGCAGCTGTGCTGACATGTTCTTTTTAGAGAGAAGAGGTTTTCTCTCTGCAGCCTTTTCAAACAATCCACACATGTTCAGTCTTTTTCTAATCACGCTGTCATGAACTTTAACCTTTAACATGCTAACTGAGGTCTATAATGTCAAATGTGGAACTTTTGGTGTTTTTACAGCTTTCCTAAGCAATGCAAAGTCTGACCCCAGGGTGAATTTGATGGGACGTCCAGCCCTGGGAAGACTGTAGCAGTGAGTTAACACACTTGAATTCTCCAGAACAGCAAACTGCCAAAACCTCTTCTTTTCTAGAAGTGCTCACACCTACTAGCGACACCTGGGTCCAACTGTCCATTTTAATTCCAGTGGAAGCAATCAGGGTGTGCTCAGTTTACACAGGACTGTAAAGAATCCTTTGTATTGATTTGCAGTACAAAGGCACAACACCCCCTCACTGAAAGGGGTCAAAGGTTGAGGTTTTTCTCTAATTGGTCACCCAGCAGCACAATAAACACATGTAGCTGTGTCTTTATGTTACTGAGGTAAAACCGAGCTTAGAGCACCGGCATAACCTACAGGTTAACATTCCACGTGTGTTACTCCAGGTCTGCTGAATTTTCCTGTAAAACCTGCTGCTTTTACACAGATGCTTTTTGTTTGGAATCAAACCTAACCTAACCCTAAGCTAGACACAAATATATTACTTAGTGACATTTAAAGGTGCCTGTAGGTGGGTCTTGGTTTGTTAGAGGAAAATAGCACACACTAGCTATTTAGTTCTGTTTCTTATCAAAGCTAAATCTTAAGCCAACATGAGAATTGCATCAGTTTTCTCATCCACAACCTCAGTAAAAAAAGCTGATAGTTGATTCACAATGTTACATTTAACCACTGCCATCCACACCTCAGAGTGTCATGAACTCACAGCCTACAGTGGGCGATGTACTCCTGAACTCATCCTTGCTAAATCGCAAAGCCAGACTCGACTTTCCAACACCAGAGCTCCCCAGCAGGACCATCTTAACCCTGAGAGTATGCACTGGTCTGCGCAAAGTGTCACTGTATTGCTGGGCCCCTCCGTGGACCCTTGGGAGAGTTTCCCCCATGAAAAAGCTTAGTTAACTCAAAAAAAGAAGGTAAAAAAAAGTCCAAAAAGGGTCCTCAAGTCCTGATCCAACTCTCCTTTTCTTTAAAAACACAACAGTAATTTCAAAGAGTCCAGACAAGCTGAGTCGTCTTGCTTGTTGTGAAAGTGTGTGACTGTTCCAGCTTCAGCTTAAAAAGAAAAGTAAAACTTAAGTCCAGAAATGTGAAGCCAGCAACAATAATCTCACTTCCTTGAGCACACCTACTCCTGACTCGTCTTAAAACCTCCCTGCTATCACATGCTGTCTCATTGATTTGAACCCACACGGACAGACTGGCTTGAAAAAATCAATGGCCACATTTCTTGTTGGGAGGGACTTGTACTGCATGCAAATATAAACTTATAGGAATGTCTGATATGTCTGCAAAGTTTTATTTTGCTTCAAAATGCTCGTAAAATTACAGAAACTCAGTGGATCCTCTTTGTGCACAAACCCTTCAGATCATTGTGTCAGCACATTTTGCTGCTGGCCTGTTTTCCGGGTTTTATCTCCTTGTAATTCTCATTTTGAACAGCTGAGGGCAGCATTGTATATATTACAACTCTGCTCTAATAGTAAAGCCTCTTCACTGCGGTAAGATGATGTGTAGTGGACAGTTTGATATTCTTCTTCTTCATTTAGACTTTTTAAAGAAATATCACAGCTATGCTCAATTATCTGTCCTTGCCATTTTCCCCAAAAGTTTCTTATTGTCTCAGGAATGTTTTCAATGCTTTCCATCAAAGTTTAGAGGGGTTAAAGGTCAGGAGACCCTGGAGGGAGCTGACAGCCTTTTATCTGTGCTGATTTTGGTCATGGGTTATTTACTTGGTAAATTCTGAATGTGTGATGAATTTGATTTTCTCTCAGTGCTGTGTACTGATATTTTCTGATGGTCACTTCTGGTCTGTCTGACTCGACTTTGAATACAACTGATCCAGTTTCCAGAAAGTGTTTTGGAGCTCCGTGCACCGGACTCCTACAAATCCAGAGTCCAACTCTGATTTGACTCAGAGAAAGTCCCTCTTTGTTCAGAATAACAGCTTGACCCCTGATACTTCCCTTCATCCTCATCTCTTGTTTTTGGTCACAGTGTTACTTAGTCAGCAAAGTTCTGTCAGTTTGAAGCCAAGCCATATTTATATCACACGAACAATGGCTGCTGGCTGATTTATTTTTAAAAGCTTCTGATGAGTCAATCTAATGGACGGATGCAACCTAAGGAAACCTGACATGTGTAGAAAGGAAACTTTTACATCTATTCCTTTTCAACATGAAAACATTTAAGATTTTTGGACATGGTGACACTTCTGGATGGATTTCTGCGTCTTAAGAGATATCAGTAAATCATATCTACAAGAAACACTGTGTACAGAAAGAACTGTCTTAAAATACTCTACTAAAGTGTCCTATAACTGGATTGTAAATATACATCATCTAATTTAAAGTAAGTCCAAACAGAAACACAACACGGTAGACAGTAGGTCTTTCACTGTGGTAACTAATTAAACTGTGATTGTGTGAACACACATGAATCACACGTTCCCCGACTGTATAAATAGACTCAGAGGGCGACTGCATATTTCAGGAGAAATTGTGTCCACATTACAACAGTTGCAAATAATAGTACAGCGTTTCATGAGATCACTATACACTCACACACTCAGCTGGGAGCACATTGTATTTTAGGGGTGGTGGCAGGCCTTGTCTGTCTCTTTAAGAAGCAAGAGGCTTTTTAGAGCTGGCTGGTCATTATTAAAAATAGCAGAGGGGCTGTGAGAGAGTGAGATAGTGCATGCAGGAGCTGTGGTTTCTGGCAGAAGTTGGATGGAGTCCAGTCCATGGATTGGTGCTGCATTCAAACGCTGTGTGAAAAATTCTCAACACCATTCTGCTAGTCCTTAAAGAGCTATAACATCATGCACTGCTTCATTGGTGCTAGTATCCAAACTGTAACTAGATCTTAGAAAGGGGAAAAGTATTGTCCTACAGAAGTTTGATCTCTGTAAACACTTTACTGCTTTTGATCTCAGCCACTCATTTCAGATCATGTTGAAAAAGAAAGAAGTCTATTTTGACGTGTGTGTTTCAGAATGGAGGACTATCTGTGGTACGCTCTTGCCAGTGAGCAAGTGGTTTCACAGTCAGACCCACCCTTCCTCATCACATCCATTTTTTAAAAAAAAAACAACAAGGTGACTTAACTTCAGAAACCAATGCATGACATTATGGTAGCTACATCCATGAGTCGCTATGACTGTGAAGCTACATGCTCATTGGCTAATGATTCATGACTGAATTGTTAGTCAGTGAGAATATCCTGACCGACCACTCCTGAGAAAGTTCATCACCGTTCCAAGTTTTCTGCATTTGTGTATAATGGCTCTCACTTTGGTTCAGTGGATTCCCAAAGCTCACAAACAGCTTTGTAATCCTTTCCAGACTGATAGATGTCAGTGACTTTGACAAAGTAAAACAGGCTAAAAGATCTCAAAAAGCAACACATCATGCCACAGTCTAGAGAAGAACCTGAGAAACAGACAGGATTAAAGTGATTTCTTGATTCAGCAGGTCTACCATTAATCAGGCCTGAGTGTGTTTTGTGAAACTGAACTCAGCTTTCCAAAAAAAATGTGGTTAATCACAGTTAACACATGTAATGCATACATATATTATAGCTTCTTGTAGCTTTTGTCTTAGATAGTTCTCCACTATTTTACTCACTTTTGGTATTCTTTAACTAACCTTTTGTATTTCTTTTTTCTTTCTTTCTTTTTTTCTTTTCTTGTGCCACTTTTATTTTAACTATATATATTTATTGTAGCGTGTACTATTTTTAATCTTTATCCTGCTACTGCAACACAATATCTGTATTTGGACTTCATTTGCATGGACCCCATTCTTTTTTAATCTATTATATCCATTATATTAGAAGTTCTCTGCATCTTCAAAAGTGTCCAAACCCAGTGTCATGGTGGCTTCCATCGTCGCTCCTGTCTATGTGAACTGCGCAGTGGCCACGTTTCCGACAACATGTGAAAGCAGCTTGCCGGAGCACAACCTTTGAAGTTTTTCAGGGAGACTTTGCTGCAGTGAATCCAACAGGTGGTGGAGACACAGCGCTGCTGTACGAGAACGAGACTGCTATCATATTTTCACACTGTGTTGTTTCTACAGTTGGTGCTTATTTCCTCAAAAATAATCTTCTACTTCTTTTATGTTTACAGTAACAGGGTCAGAAACACCCTAACAGCACAGGAGCGACGCTCAGGTGATCATTTGTGACCTGAATGCGCCGCTGCACGTGGAGACAGCGCGCAGCTTTGTGAAGCAGACTTGGTCGCGAGCTCGTGCGTCGCTCCAGAAACACAGGAAGAAGTGTGAAGACGGATGTATGACAATGAGGCACGCTGAGAACCGGAGCAGGCAGCCCGGGTTTGTGTCACTGACTCCGCGTCTTTAACTTGAAATCTGTAGAAACACATGAGACGCACGAGCCGCGGGTCTGTGTGGATTACCGAAGTCTGAATTAATCGGCACCAAGTGGATTTAAGCGTTTAAGGGGACGACATGGGGACCCAGGGGACAGGACGGAAAAGGTCCACTAAAAAGGACAAAACGACGGCAGAGGACGATGCCCTGAATCTCATAGCCAGAGAGGTGAGTGAAGGGGAGACAATAAATCTTTACTGAGGGGGGTTGGAAGCAGTAATGTAACTTTTAAAGAGCCCCCAAACCTATTTAATCACACTTAATCACACTTGAAGGCGCGTTTGCGTTTTTGTTCCGCATGAAAAAAAACATTTGTGTGTTTAATGTCTGATTTAGTGTGTCCACATGTGTAATATTGGTCATTGTTAAAAATACGCAGACATTGTCCCCAGTTTTTTTTAAACATCACTTTCACCTGATACCGCTGCAGCAGGGGCGTTTCCCGTGGGGCACGGGGACCCTCATGAAATCGGTATTTCATCAGCAGTATAGATATTTGCTGGCTGCAGTTTTCACATTTCTGTGCAGAGGGTATTAGGTGACCGTACAGGAGTTTAAACGTGTTTTTTATTGAATAACTTTTTTTTGCAAAGTCACAAAAGAACTATTTAGAACAGGGCTGGTCAAACTGCCACAGCTAAGGGCAGTCTGGGCCCCTGTAAGGAAAGGAACACGTTTTGTGAACAGCTTGATTTTTAACATGATGCACATAGTGGAGTTTAGCAAAACTCAGGACTAATTTCATCACATCACAAAATTTCTTTACACACAAGTGGAGTGACATATGCTGAAATTGAGTAAAGATAGAAATACCAGTTTATTATGAATCATTAAGACAATGCCTCTTTTCTTATTTATTTATTTTTTGGCTGGAGGCTGGGGGTTTAGCTTCCCATTCAGGACATAAGGGGTCAGGCTGAGATGACTGACAGCTGGTTCTGGCCCCCTGAGCAATATGTTCCCCCATTGTAATTCAGACACAGTAGGTTCAGGTATTTTTGTGAAAAAGCATCTGCATAAATAGAGTTTAATATATTCTAAAGTGAAAC